GGCGTTCCGCCAAATATCGAGGTCCTAAACCGTTTAGGGCCTTATAAGTAAGCATTAAAACTTTGAAGTTGACACGGAAACAGATGTGCAGCCAATGCAATGCGGCCAGCGTTGGAGAGATGTGTTGGTATTTCCTCACTCCTGTGAGGAGCCTGGCCGCCGCATTCTGCACCACCTGAAGTTTCTGTCAGCCTCAAAGGCAGCCCCACACAGAGCGCGTTACAGTGATCTAATCTTGAGATTATGAGCGCATGCACCAAGGTAGTGAGCGCCCCCATGTCGAGATAGGGTCACAGCCTATATATATGCAAAGTTGCTTCTTCTGGCTTCTATACATACTGTGCTCTTACCTTCTGTGTCGTTTGTACCTCAATCTCTACTCCAAAACTGGTCCACAACTTCTACCCTCTCTAGTATCTCATACAGCAGAATGCAAATATACCTAATCCCACCCCAATTTTGTACCAGCTTCCAAGCTTGATTAAAGAACAGCCCTAGTCTAACATGTAAACAGAACTGCAGTCAGGAAGGGAAGACATTCAGAGTGGATTTTGAGGCAAAAAGTCATAGTGACTGTTATAAATACTATTGTTGAAAAATGTTTATTGCAAATGGTGCTGCATCAGAGTTGGGGAAGAGACACTTTATGCTATGAAGTGGACAAGTCAAGACTGACTTGAGGAGGAAGCAGCGAGTGAGTTCTCCAATCGAGTACTATAAACTCATGCTTAATCTGTTGAAAGCCATGCAGGACATCAGGCTTGTGAAGGAACAGCTTTCTGTTTTGTAAAACCCTCTTCCTTCATAGTGTGAGAAGGTGCAGGCTATACATGGTAATAGAAGCAGAAAGATAAAACGCATGTGCCTAAAATGCAGAATAACCCTGCTGAGTAGCAAGTTCTTGGTAAAACTCAGGTACAGTAGGTAGAGATAAAGGCATGTAAATTTATGGTTTTGGTACTAGTTTCCAGAATTTCGTGCAATTTGCAGTACAATCTTGCTCCTCAAATCTGCACACTTCTAGGAAATTTATGCTAACAATAGATGTTATGGTATCAGAATGACTCGTGGGGGCTCAAACCTGAAAACTGATGGGCCATTGCCTTACTAGTGACATTTCAGTTGTAGTATACTCTGCTAAGAAAAGCTTTCACAGACTCTTTTCTAACGATGTAGCTATACTATCAGGACAGGATCCAACAGCATTCTGACTTTTACTTGGCAAATAAACCAACTAACCAGCCTGTTACACTGCTAGTATTGATTAGCTAAGTGAAACACTTTTAGATCAAGTAATTGAGATAACAGATTAGACATTTTTACTACATCATATCAAAAGACTATTAATGTTTGGTACAATCTTTATTGAATAAAAAAGTTGCCAAAAGTGAAAAAATACATTATATACAAAACCCACTGTCCTTGGAAGGAGTGTCCAGTATTAAAGAACTATCATACAGCACTCTGAACAGTTCCAATGTGTGGCCTTTCCTCTGTCTGCAAAGAGGAAAAAAAAGGTTTACTTTAGCATGTGTATCCCCTTTTTCATTAGGACAATTAATTCATGCAATAACTCCAGCAAATCACATTTCTGAACTCAGCGTGGCTGCATCTTGATGGAAACCATCAAGAAAGGTATGCTCAAATAATACGTGTATCTTGCTGCAGTTCAGATATTATGCAACTTCTGCAGAACAGAATTTAAGATTGCCACTTTAAAGTATTCTCAAGATGTGTGTGCTGCTATCCACAAATATACAGAAGTAATGTAGCAGCCAGGCTTCTCGCTTAGTTTGAATACAAACTCCAACATGCATTCTCACATGGGTGAATTCTCAAGAACAAGATCAGCAAGCAATTAACAACAGGCAGGAAAGATATGCCTGGAAAGGGGAAAGTAAACACAGACTCCTGACTCAACTGCCCACCTCCTCTTCCATTTTCTCTGCAACCTCATTTCCACTGGGGGCAGCATCACCACCACCATTGACAGCCGGCTCTGGTTTAGATTTCTTAGCTTCATTGTCTCCCTGTTGAGTTTCTTCCTCTGGTTTCCTCTGAAGACAAAATTGTTTAGTCTTCACCAAGTACAACTTCAAATGTAAACCTTTATAAAGAGTAGTACCTAGTGTCACTGGGCATGAGTTACTATCAAGTACTGGTCTGGGCCAGAGGAGGAGCTACAAGGTGTATACCATTTCTCTTTGGTTATCTTTCAACTGTCAGAAAAATGTCTTGCTTTGGTACAGAAAGACCATAGCTAGCTCCTGGTTAGCTAACAGATTACATACAACTAACAGATTACATAATTCACACTAATGGAGAAGCTTTAGTTATTTGCCAGGACTGGAAACCAAAGACTACGCAGGCAGTCTACAAAACAAATAAACATTTAACATACTACACAGAGATGTGATTAAAATAATCATAATGGATGGACTAATCAGCTATTTACTTTAATAATCCCACAATACAAATGCAGTTGTACAAGTGTACAAATGGCTTGTTTCAGACTGGCTTTGCCATTTTACTACATCAATTCTCCATTTCCACTGGAAATAAGGGAACCCAGCTCAGCCTGGCTGTTCAGCTGTGAAATTGTTTCAATGGCTTTCATATTACCTCTGAAACTCAACCACAGGCAATATTCTGCAGGTCCTTTACACAGCCAAGTTTTCAAGTGCCTGCAGGACCCACACAATTAAGCTTTGAAACCAAACCAGGTTGAGTCAGGTGGGTGCTGCACCGCACATAACTATCTAATGCTAGCAAGGAAGCTGGATGGTTCCCAGACTGAATGAATCCCAGTGGAAAGGATCCTATGCAGTGATCTGTACCAATCTGTAGTGAGTGGATGATCTAAACTTGTAATTAAGAAACTAACTATAGTAAGCCAGTGATCACTAGATTTGTTATATTTGTTGGGACACATACCTTTTTTCTAACAAGGTGGGAGATGTCAGTAATACATGGAGATGCTCCATCAGCTGCTTGTCTGACTGGAATCTATTACAAAAACAAAATAAAAATGTTTATGAAATATTATACTACAGTAGTTTTAAACTGCTTATTCTTAAATAAGAACTTACAGCTGAAGCCAATCCACTGTCAGTCCCTTGTGAAAAGCTAGAAGATGAGCCACCAACCTGAAAACAGAAAATCCAGGTTATTACTAAATGACTTTGACCACTAAAGACACGGAAACTATAGAAGTGTTGAAATACTACTAAAGTGTTGGCTGAAAAAATAAGACTTTTTGATCATTAACTTTCTCTCTACTGTAAGCAATTTAAATATTAATATTTGCAATAAATTACTCACTATTTTTAAAGCATTATTTGTATACCTTAAGACTTAATGCCAGAGTTAAATTGTATAAACTGCAGCAGTCAACTTGCTAGCTTCCAGTATCTTTTTTTCTTAAACCTCAAGGAAAAAGAGGTTACTTACATTTAACTGGTTCTTCAAGTGGTCATCTGTGAATTCACACTAATGGGTTTAGTGCACCTGCGCAGAGAAACCTCGGAATATTCTAGAACTTAAGCACATGGTGCCAGGACCTCCCACATGCTGCCCTTAAAATAGGCCGGACAGCGAGACCTTAGTTCTGTAGAACAGTCTGCCACTGTCCAGGATGCAAAAGGCATACGTGATGGACAAAAGGGAGGATGGGCGGACAGTGTGAATTCACAGATGACCACTGGAAGAACCAGCGTTACATGTAACCTCTTTTTCTTCTTTGTGGTCTCTGTGAATGCACACTAATGAGTGACTAGCAAGCTAACTTACCCAGAAGAGGGACGTCACAAGAGCACAGAGGCCAGAATGGCATCCAGTCGATAATGGGCCGCAAAGGTACATGGCATAGCCCACGGGGCTGCCTTGCAAATGTCAGAGAAGTCTACCCCTCTTAGGAACGCCATGGAGGAAGCTAGAGCCCTGGCCGAATGGGCCTTCGCAGTGTGTGGCAGAGGTGTCTGGACCAGCTCATATACAGTCGGCTAGTCTAAACCACTGATAGCAAATCTATGGCACAGGTGCCACAGCTGGCACACAGAGCCCTCTCTGTGGGCACATGAGTCATAAGTTGCCATAGAGAAATCTTACCTGTCCTCCAATCCCAGATTTTGGCACTCCCCTCTGCTAGTGCAGTGGTCCAGCAGAGGGGTGCAATGGCGACCATTACCAGTCTAGCCCAATGGGGGATTGGAGGACCAGTTAAGATTTAATGAAGGTGTGGCAGAGGGGAGGACTCTTATCTTGCGTAATATCTTCATATACTTTGTCTATCTCATCTGATACAGGCTGATCAATAGCCAAGTCCATCACCTTCGCAATTCTCAGTATCAGCTGAGATTACAAAGGATAGCCCTCAGATGAAGGAGGATGAATCTGTCACATCCAAACTCAAGGTGGTAATGTTTGGTGGCAACTCCTTCTGCCCATCGATCTCAGAGGCCTCTGAATCTTTATCGAGGTTCAGGGGGATGTGGTCCAAGGAGGGTGAGATCACCGCACAACGTTGCCGGATGATAGCCTCCAGCCTCATGACCAACTCTTCTACCTTCCCCCTCATACCGAGGAGCCGGTTGATCCAGAGACGGCTGGTGTCCTGGGCCAGTCCAAGCGAGAAGCTTCTTGTGGCACAAATAGGTGGTGCTGCCTTTTCACCTCAGGTAAGTACTCAGCCAGCAAGGGCCTCTTTCAGTACGATTGCCATGGTGGCCCAGGGTATAAATCCTCCTCAGGGTAGCAGTCTGTGTAGAACCGATAATGTGAGGGTGAAGGAGAATACGACCCGTAGAATCCATATGCTAGGCAATATCTATAGTAGGGCTTAAGCCTATGAGGCCTGGAACAGAGGTGGGGATTGGACTCAAACTCCTTGGGCTCGAAGAAACTAGGGCATTCATAGTATCACAACCTCTTAGCCTCATATTGATAGCCATCATCAGGAGGCATAGACCAATGCCGGAAAGTCTTGGGCTCAACAGGTGGCTCCAAATGTCATGTCTTTTGTGTTCTCTGCCTACGGGCCTCCAACAGGACATACTCTGGCAGAGACATCGAGGCATGCCAAGAAAACAAGCCTAGATGAGACCGAGGGCTAGCCTGCGCCAACTGAACCTCAGCTGAGGTATGTTTCCAGTCAGGTGATTGACTAAACTGTGGGGATGGCACGGCCTCCGGCATTAAGGGCGGGAAATCCTCATCCCCTGAAGGTATGCTAAGGCATACCGATTCCTGCCAGGATCTGTCAGTGGCCAGCAGCAATGGCGTGGTCTTTTCTGCCGTGAGCCCAAACTTCTGTGCAGCTGTCAGTTTCTTCTTTTTCTTCGGCATCAATACTGAGGGAGGCTTCGGTGTCGATACCGTAACTATCGACCTTGAGCCCGAGGAGGACACATGGGGCTTCAATGCCATCTTAGGTCCTTTCTGTGCCTTAGGAGGTGAAGAGCTTGAGATTGGAGAACGCTCCAGAGCTTGGGCAGATTGCATGGGGACCCTTGAGATGGAGAAAAGGATTTTTCCCACAAAAAGGAACAGAGGCCCTGAAGTCTCAAGAGCCGGCTTCTTAAAATTCTTGCAAGCCACACAGAGAGCCAGTTGGTGTTCCTCCCGCAAGCAAAACAAACAGTGGGAATGCCCATCCGAGAGGGCTATTTTGTTGCAGCATGTCTCACAGCTCTTGAAGAGGCCTGGAGCAGCCATAAACAAAGCCACAGCTCTCTCACACAAACAAACAAAGTCTGTTTTTTTTTTCCTTTTCAAGCTCACAGGAAGAATTGTCGAATGGTCCGAGTCACAGATCTGGGAGGTCCAAAAAAGGTAAGTTTTTTTGGGGGGGGAAAGAAATGGTAAGCTCCTAACCGAGGTGCTGCTGCAGCAGTGGCAAAAAAGGAAATGAGGCACTCGGTGCCAGGGCAGCGTGTGGGAGCTCCTAGCACCATGTGCTTAAGCTCTACAATATTTTGAGGTTTCTCTGCACAGAGACCACGAAGAACTTACTATTACAGGTTTTAGATCCAAGCTGAAAATCATGACAATCTGTTCCACTCTAACACTACCAGAATAATTTGAATAAGCTAGAAACGTACCAGTGTTGCTTTCAGAGCCAGTTCAGCGACTCTTGCACTTTTTTGAGACTCCTTTGAATCCTCTATCTTCTCTTTAATTTCAGGAAGCAGTTCCTCGAGTTCCTCAATTTCCTTCTCATCATCAATGGATCCCTCCCCTTTTGCTTTTAGCCGCTCAGCCAACATAACTAAGAACACATAAACATAGTGAAAGTCATTAGCACTATTTGAGCAAGTGACTTCTGTTCAAAATTATACAGTATTTGTGAAAATGAATTCTCAAGGACCAGCAAAATCTTATTCTCATTTTTCCCTTAGTCAGCTTCATAAAACATCAGTTCTGCCTCAAACTTCTAATTATATAGACCAGGTTAAGCAGAAGATATATCTGGATCTATCTGAAAGCTCTCAGCTGATCTACTGTAAATCACCCATTGATTTCCATCTCTCAACTGTTTAACAGCAGCAGCAATGAATATCTTCTGCAGCAATGATTCTGTTGAAATTAAATAATTCTTCTGGAGATACTGAGCTGTCTTCAAGTCTAGTTCGCAAATCAAATTCCTTAGATAATAATTATTTTAACTGAATGCCCTTTTGATAGTTGGTGACATTCAGGATTCAATAAAAAGGCAGAGTAGACTTTCACTTACCCAGTCTTTTGTCAATGACTTCTACTGATTTACTGAACTGTTGCACTGCTTCATCATACTGGTTATTATAGTGATAGGCCAACCCCAGATGGTAGTGAGTTTCTGCAAGCAAGCGGTCATGGGCCTCCAAATACTTCTGCTGAAGAGCCAAGCAGGAGTGGAACTCTTCTATAGCTTGAAGGTAATTTTCTACACAAGAAATTGGAAAATTAAAATAGGACTTTCACCTCAAAGCAGCCTTTCAGAATGAATTCTGCTTCATACAATGTTATAGTTAGATACTGGAACCATTTGCTTCATAGAATAATACAGAAAAATGCTCACAGCATTAGTTGTATAAATACATGATGAATCCAGTACAAATTTTCGAAAGGAATATACGTCATACATTTAACATAGCATTTTGACAGCTACAATGAGCAACTCAGTTTGGATGTACACTTCCTGGTCCAATAAACGAGTTTTGCTGCCAGAAGCAACCAGAGATTCCATGTCTCCTCACTTTTTGGGTGATTATATCTGATTGAATTAAATCAATACAGTGGTGCCCCGCTTGACGATGACCCCGCCAGACGTCAAAATCGCTTTACAATTAGTTTTTTGCGATCACCAAATGATGGTTCCAATGGGTTTTTTTTCGCTTGATGTTGATTAGGGGCCTGCTTCGCGAACCATTTTTTCGCAAAACTGTTTTTTCCGGTTCCGCAAAATGGTTCCCTCCCTTCGCAAAATGGCTGCCTTCCGGACCCCTGCTTCAGACAACAGCTATTTTAAACAGCTGATTGGCAGTTGTCTATGGGCAATCTTCACTGGATAGTGAGTTATTTCCCCACTGGAACGCGTTACCCAGTTTTCAATGCATTCCAATAGGGTTTTTTTCGCTTGACGACGATTTTGCTTAGCGATTTTCCTGGAACGGATTATCAAGCGGGACACCACTATATATGATCACTGAGGAAATGAGGTAATGAAGGTCTTTGATTATTCCCAGCTGTGGAACTCTGGCTTAGCAAACTAGGGCTGTTGTGCCCAAATGTCTTTACTCAGACTGCAAGACAAATGAAAATCACAAGTCTATCCTTCTGTTTCCTTCCGATGCAGTTCAAAGACAGGACATAATGCCAAGACATAGTAGTATCTAACATATGGCTTAGTTAAAGCTCAAAAGTGGATACCTACTGCAGTGTGAAGTAAACAAATTAGGGTAAAATGATTAAAATGGCAACAGTTGTGATTTTTACTAGGGCAGAACACTACAAAGATTGGTTGAAATTTTGCTTGGTATAGTAAAATTGCAACCAGAGTAAACCCACTGAATCAGTGGGAATTTGGTGAGTAAACTCCTCTTTTAATTTCACTGATCCAATGAACCTACTCTGTTTGCACCTTATTCTGCCAAGTAACAGGATTTTAGCTGTTATGCACAGGGAGAACACAAGGCTATTAAACATTAGTCTCCTATAGTTACCAGATTCGATGCTAACTTCTCCAAGTTTTAGATGAGCTTGAGCAGCATGGAGCTGAGCTTCTTTAGTGTCCTGTCTAGATAAAACAGGCAAAGCCAGTAAGATTAATGTAATGCATTTAATTGGCCATTATCAATATTAAATGATAAAGCTCTCACAACATACCTTTTATATATTACTTTTGCCAATTCAAACATATCCCAGGCCAATTCTAAGTTTCCAACTTCATCTTCTTCACTTTCCTGAAACAATTATTTGAAAAAGTCAAACATGGGCCAGATATAATTAACTTTCTTTCTCTTAAGAGAAGATATACTAGCACCATCTTCACAGGAAGCAAACTGATCAAGTTAAGAAAACCATGGTCAGCCCTACAGTATATAAGTAGTCCAGTAATACGTATACAGTGGTGCCCCGCATAGCGACAATAATCCGTGCCGAAAAAATCATCGCTATCCGGATTCGTCGCTATGCAGGGGGGGGGGAACCCCATAGGAATACATTAAAACACGTTTAATGCATTCCTATGGGGGAAAAACTCACCGCTATGCAGAAATCCTCCATCTGGCCGCCATTTTCATTGCCCGGTAAGCGAGGAAAGGGCGCGAAAACACTGTGGGTGGGCATTTTTCCAGCGGCCATTTTGGAACCGGCGATCAGCTGTTTTTAAAACATTGCTCTGCGAAAATCGGTAAGCGAAATGCTTACCGATCATCGTAAAGCGATTTTTGTCATATAAAACATCGCAATGAGATCGCAAAAACCTCATCGCTATGCAGATTCGTCATTAAACGGGGCGCTCGTTAAGCGAGGCACCACTGTATATACCTCCTTACTTCTCCGCAGCTTACTGAACTCAGGAGAGAGCTTATATACTTCTGCTTTAAAAGCTTAATAACTATGGCAGAAAATGACAAAATGCATACTAAAAATTGCTGTAACCCACTTTCTTTTTAAGAGGGTGGCCTTCAAACCAAAGCTATCACCTAATTTAATCAAACTTTGACTTCTGACCTCTAGCAAGAGTGAAATCTCCAGCTACTTTGCTACATGGAGTGGCAGATACGAAGAAAAAGCAAAAAAAGAGAATGTCTGTAATGCTACACATGCCTATTTAAAAAGAAACATTTTAAAATTCAAATACATTTACATCATAGTAAATGTATAAATAGATTCATCATGTTAGTAGTCAGACAGTCACTGGCTGGAATGCAAGGGAGCTTGTTGGACCCATTGAATTAAGAAGTTTATGTACTGCAAAAAAGCATACAATAACTTATCTTCTTTCTCTACACAGTCAACCAGAATCTTGGCAAACTGTAATACAGTATTTGAACTGCAAATGCTGCTTTCAATTTATTCTCACCATAGATTGGGTCTGGCTTACCTCTGTGAAGGTCTATTTCTACTACAACTCTATGAAGACTTGAAAAACAGTAGAACTTACACTTCAATAATTATGTATATACTAATATTAGAAGTGTTTTAAGGTTGTAGTAATTACTATGCATAAATTCAATAGACTTCCTTTACACTGTACAGTGGTGCCTCGCTTAACGAGCTCAATAATTATGCTAATGCGATCGCTCAACGAGTTTTAGATAGGGCGAAACTCGCTCTACGAAGGTCGGTAAGCGGTTCGCTTACCGACCTTCATCTTGCGACCCGCCGATCAGCTGTTCGGCGGGGCCAAAATGGCCACGCGCAGTGTTTTCGCGCCCTCGTTAAGCGAGGTGAGGGCGCGAAAATGGCTGCCAGCCATCCTGGAACATCGCTGAACGGTGAATAAAGGAGCCTTTTGGAACGCATTAAACGATGTTTAATGCGTTCCAATGGCTTTTCCTGCCCCATTCAGCGATGTTTTGCTATAGCGAAGGTTAATCCGTAACGGATTAACCTCGCTATGCGAGGCACCACTGTATTCTGAATATTTTTTAGCAGTAATGATTATTGACGGTAAGGTTCAAGTTGACTAAGTGCATTCACCTGATACTATATTTTGACACCAAGCTCTAGGATAGTTTAACAGTTAAAAATATAGTTCAGAAATGAATATACAGTGGTGCCTCGCTTAACGAGCACACCGTTTAACGACGAATCCGCTTAGCGATCTGTTTTTTTCAGATCGCTAATGCAATCGCATTGCGATGCTTTCAATGGCAAAACATCGCATTGCGATGAGTGGTAAGCGTTTTGCTTACCGATCTTCGCACTGTGATTTTTTTAAACAGCTGATCGGCGGATCCAAAATGGCAGCCGGACGCCCAAAATGCCCGCCGCAACCATTTTCACACCCTGCCCTTGCTTACCAAGGGCGCGAAAATGGCAGCGCTATGGAGGAACTTTGCTGAACGATGAGTTTGGGGCCCCATAGGAACGCATTAAACAAAGTTTAATGCGTTCCTATGGGGTTTTTTGATCCGTTTAGCGATGTTTTTTGCATAGTGACGATTAATCCGGAACGGATTAACATCGCTATGCGGGGCACCACTGTACTTAAAAGCACTAAACAAGAGATTTTAGTTTTATACTCAACAAAACTTTGATTTTTGATAATGCATCGAATGAAATGTTATGACAATATACATATAATCAGCATATGTTTCATTTGATTAAATCATAACTATAGAGTTATCTTTGTCATATCCAGGGCTACTGACCCTGGATAAGTATGTTAGGTACTTCCAACATAAGTATGAAAATCTTGTAAATAAATAAGACCACTCAAATGCTGTACCCTATTATAATCCTGTAGGTTTAGGATAGAACTAAACATCTTTCAATATCCATTATCCTCTGCCAACCACATTATAACCACAATTTTCTAATGCAGAAGTCTTTAATATAACAATTATGTGCCATCAAACTAATTCCAACCTAAGGTGGCCTCCCCATAGCTTTCCAGATATGTAGTAATCAGAACCAGTTTACTGGTGGTACTCTGTGAACCTGCAGCTTGCTCACTACTGCTCAAGTAGCACAATATGTTATGCCAAGTAGTCTATTTCTTGGAAGGGCAGCAGGGATTTGAACTCCTGGTCCCAACTACGCAGCCAGGTGTAAAGCCATATCAGCACTTGAAATACTTTTCAATTGATGATTAAAAGGAGGAACTCATCAACTCATTAACAGGCACGAAAACTCATTTCACGTATTTACCTTCTCTTCTACTGTACTTTCATTTTCTTTGTCATCCTCAGCTTTGTCTTCCTCTTCTGACCCTTCTGTCTCTACAAGAAACATTTCTCATTAATACATACTCAGTTGTACATTGTTATGTAGATGGAAATTACATTATAGTCCTTAATGACACTACCGATCTAGCCTTAAGAGGTAGACCAAATTTAAATCATGTGCCAACAATACCAGGGACAGGCTATGCTGCTATGCAAATTGTATTTCAAAGACAGTATAGACCTCTGTCAACGAGTGTTGTGCAAATAGTACATTTTAGTACTGAAAATAAAAGCTTCAACTCAACACTGACTCTTAAACCTTGGATATCTTAACCTGCAGATCATTCTCAAACCCTTATATTTTGTACTCCTTGGGCTGCACTTGCAGATCTCCAATAGGCTACCAAGCTACATATACCTTGTAGATTAGAAATGATAATTCTATCACCTACTTGTTCCTTTATCAGTAATCTTACAATCTCATTTGTTTACAAATATAATCAAGATATCAAATAAACCCAAACAAGCACTAAACAAGAGCCTCGTGGCAGTGGTTAAACTGCAGTACTTGCAGCCAAATCTCTGCTCATGACCTGGGCTCAATCCTGGGTAGCCAGCTTGGCAATGTGTAGCCTGCACAATTAAATTGTGTAAATCACCCTTAGAGTGCTCGAGGCAGTATATAAGCAGCATGATTTGATCTTTTTTAAAAAAGTGTTTCCTTATTTAAGTCTTTCTAATATATCAAAAAGCTGTATTATGTTAGAAGTTTACACTAATTACAGCTTTCAGTATTTTATAACCTAGAATCTCACGTTACATATGCAAACTTTCAAAAAGGTTGTGATACTTTAACAGCAATGCTGAAACAAGAAAGTCAGACATGAAAGCCATGTAGTCTGCTATGAGCACTAGTTATCTAGCTGTAGGCCCGGAAGTGAACTAAATGTGAAGTTCCATTTAATACTTGGCTATAAATCACCACTTAATATTACTGTGTTTGGTGAACCAAGGTATATCAGAAGAGAAGATAAATCAAAAACTGTGCTTTAATCTATCAAGTTAATATTGCAACATCAGAGCATGCAATGAACATCCATTCAGTGTCCTCTTATCAGCCACTGCTCTCTATATTTATTTGCTCATGCTGGTCATTCTCCAAAGAGCCAAAATATTTCCTAAACAAATCAAGTGCACTTTTGTTTTTTTAACCATAGACCTTTTTGCAGCTTTCAAACTGTTCCCCAGCTAGGTTTGTCCGTTAGTTTGAGACAGAGAGAATTCTGAATGGATTGTTTCACTAAGGGTTAGCTCTCTAAAGTAATTCACCCACATTTATCCTCTATCCCTGTTACCTTCTCCCTCTCCCATCTCTTCATCCTTTTCTTCCTCCTTTTCTACCTTAGCAGCAACTTCAGCTTTTTCTTCAGTTTGTGCTTCGTGTGATTGTTCAATAGATCCAGCAGGAATAGTTTCATTTGGAGTTGAAGATGATGCATCTTCTGAGGCTGATGGCTCTTTCAATTCTTTTTCTTTCAAGTTCATAACTTGTTCCACAGTATCTAGTTTCTCTGCATTATCATCACTTGCTTTCTCTTTCTGTTCTTTTTTTTCTACCTTGTGTTCCATTTTTTCAACAGCTGTTACCAATTCTGTTTTGCTTACTTCCTCACTTGATGGTTTTACCAATTTTTCTATTACCAAATTTTTTTCTATATTGTCTCCCTGCTTTTCAGCAGCTGAAACTACCAGCTTTCCTGCCTCTTCTTCTGTCTTCTCTAGAACTAACTTCTCTTCCTTTTCTGCAGGTATACCATGTTCCAAAATGTCTTCCCCAGCTTCTTTAATCTCTTCTGATACTATGTTTGGTTCTACAGCTGCCTCATCTTCAACCACTGCCTTCTTTACGGTAATATCTTCAGCAACCTTGTCTGCCACCACTGGCTTCTCTTCTCCAGCAGCCCTTTCAGCAACCATATACTTTTCCTCTTGTCCAGCATCATCTTCCAGTAGACCACCAGAAGATACTTCACTGTGTCCATCTTTTTTCTGTACAATTGCCTCTTCCTCCTTCTCTCTAAGAGTTAGGTCCTCTATGCTTGTAACTTCCTTTTTTTCCTCCTTAACTTGTTCCATTTCTGCATCCTTGTTTTTCAATTGCATCTCTACTTCAGTCTGTACTGTAGACTCTTCAGCAGTTCTTCTAGATTCATCTTTTTCCCCCATGGCATTATATACCTGCTCTCTTAATTCCTCCCTTTCTTCTTCTACATGATTAAGGAAGATCAAGCACAAACAAACTTTTGCATTTAGTGATAAGCATTCATGATCTTCATATCCTTCCCGCAATCCCACTGACACCTTTTTGAACACTTATAACTTTGGATCAGAATCCAACTGTTTCTGGCACTTAACCTGACAACAAATACACTGCCATAATACTGTGAGCTTGCAAGAAGCTATGTTTAAGCAGTTATAAGCCAGCAAGAATTACAGCCAAGCAGGAGATGCCAAGCTTTGTCTAGATGAGACATCACATTATATTACAAAGGAATCTATTACACATTAAGCAAGTGGGAGGCATCTGAAGGATGAGAATAAACTATAACTCCTTTAAATTAAGCTGACCTACTGATAAAACACAGTCCACACAGCAGCATATCTTTTGTAGGCAAATTAGATGCCACTGCACCATAAACATCTCGGCTGCATTTTGCCACATATTAGATTGTGTTCTAAGGAGCCGTCTTACAGTTTCTGTTCCAAGTTACCTGCACAAGATCTGCTCCTTTAGATGCATGTAATCAGCCAATTGTTCCTTAAACTATTAAATGCATAAATCAATGTTTTTACAAAGAGCTATTTTTATGTTTTATAGGTTAGATCAAACAGCAGAGTTCAAAAGTAGTTCACCCAATGGGTGTGTACAACCACTCTACTATCAAATCTGGTTCAAATTACTGACATAGAAAACTTTATTAATTCTTTTAGCTTTTATTTTGAAGAACATAGTCGCCATAGAAGACAAAGTGGCATCAAATGCTCCATATTTACTTAGAGCAAACACAGCTTGGCATCTCTTTTATTTATCAAGACAGGTATGCATACCATCTATATTATCAGCACTTTCCACCATTGAGTTTTCTGTCCTCTCTTCTTTTTCTTCCTCTTCTTCCACCTGCACACCTTCCAAAGCATTCCCTAGAACCCCATTTTCCATTCTAGAAAAGAACAGTAAGAACTGGGGTTATGCTTCATACCAATTGTTCAGTACCCAAGAAGTCTGAAAGCGATCAACTGCACCCAAAGTGCTTTTAAGAAATAGAAGACTGGTATGGTATAGGATGGGGACATGGGTAACAATTCTCTAAACCATTCACCCAATTTTACATTTGTTACAAAAAAAAGAAGAACTTGTATTGTTATATGCCGCACAGAGACCACTGGTAATGGCACGGCTAAAAAAATCTTGTAAATAAATAAACTTAATGTAATCCCAGATTTAAGAACTGCAAAACTCTGAACTGGCTTTATGATAATCTTGCTATCTTGTTCCACAAATTCAGCATTTAGAGATGTAAGTGGCAATAAGTCAACATTCATTTAAAGGAGTCTGAAAATCTTTTTAGTCATCCTCATATGGTGAAAGGGGAGCTAGGTTCTGACAAACAAAATAAGCTTGGAACTTGCTCCAAAATCAAGGAGCAGAGAAGTGGTAATGAAATCCATTCTTCATTAGTGCTGAAGTTCAGCTGATGTCCAAGAATAGTTATGGCTTTGCATTTCTGAAGAACAAATACAGAGACTTAAAAATTTACTTCCGTCCTCCAATCCCAGACTTAAAAACTGAGACAACAATCTATGAATTTTAAATGGCAAGACTTTGCGCAAAGAGAGCGAGAGACAACTTGTCTGGCAAGACCACATTTTTTGGCCCCAACTGTAACGGAGTACAGATATATCTTAAGAAACATAATTGAGAATAAAAGACATTAATAGCCAGTTTGGCTTTTAAGGCACTACTAGACAGCTTACTATCTAAATGAGCACAATATCATTACATGCTGATTCCTAGTTATTCCCTTATGTGTCTATATCTTGAAATAATTCAAAGATACAAAGTAAAACTACCAAGTACTAACTGGCCTAGAACAGGACAAATCAAGTTTACCTTGCCAACTCAAGAAGAGATTTGCCATAGAAAAAGAAAGCTTCTGCACACTCATCTGCTGTTTCACCATATTTCTCACCCCTAAAAGAAAGACACAGCAGCTTAGAATTTGTTTTTCATCTCTTAATTCATTGTACATGATTTATCTTACCATACAAGTATTAATTTTCTGAAGCAATTCAAAACTGGCTCTGGTAAGTTTATATCTTGTAACATGTTGCCATACAGGCCATCAGATCAGCAAGTATATCAAGGTATTGCTCAGCAGAACTAATGACAAAGGATTTAACAACTAATTATGCTTCTAATATTCACATACCGGGTCTTCTGTGAAGTCTGCCAGCCAGCTGTACTCATGGAGCCTCCTGGCACAGTACTTAAACTACAGTACTGCACCCAAAACTCTGCTCACCACCTTGGCTAAATCCCAGGTATCTGTCTCAGGGTTCACTTAGCCTTCAAGCCTTCCACAGTTGGTAAATTGAGTACCCAACTGGCAGAGGCGGGGGGACAATGTGTAGCCTGTGTAATGCAATTGTAAACTGCCCAGAGACTGCTTTAAGTATTATGGGGTGGCATACAAGTAGCACACTTTGCTTCTGCTTTCCTTTCACTCAACCTAAAGGGGACTGTATTTGCGAAGGCTTTTACGGCCGGGATCTAATGGTTGTTGTGGGTTTTTCAGGCTCTTTGGCCGTATTCTGAAGGTTTCAGAGGACTGAAGATGCCGGCCACAGAGACTGGCAAAGCATCAGGAACAACAACCTTCAGAAAATGGCCAAAGAGCCCGAAAAACCCACAACAACCACTAAAGGGGACTTCCCCCCCAACTTCTAACCAAAGGGTACTGGCAAATTTGCATCCAACCCTCCATAAAATCTAGATACTTTGTGGAAGAACAAATTTATTTCCAAACAATGTATCTAACATGATCCCTCCTCCTCATTATCCATGATATTGTCATCAAGACAACCCTGTTTGAGCTGCAATGCAAAAATCCATTCAGAATACACCTTCAAGCAGCCTGCATCAGAAAATTAGAGCATTACAGTGGACCCTCGACTTACAGACGGCTCGACTTACAGACTTTTCGAATTACAGACTTCACTGGCCGCAAAATTTAGGTTCGACTTGCAGCCTGAGAATCGACCTACAGACCAGAAAATATCCAAAATGGAACAAAAATGGCCAGTTACGGGATTAATCGGTTTTCAATGCATTGTAGGTCGATGGAGACTCGACCTACAGACTTTTCGACCTGCAGCCACCGTTCCAATACGGATTAATTCCGTAAGTAGAGGGTCCACTGTATGCCATTCTGGTGTGGGGAGAAAGGAGAACTTAATTATTTCTGTTATTACCTTAGATTTCTATAGATTAAAACCATTTCCCTTGATATAAAATAGTTAGCATTTCCTTCACATTTTTCATAATCTTAAAATGTTACTCCTGAATATGTAACATGATGTTGTCAGGAGTTGTAGTCTAAAACAAGTACAGTACCTACCCCTGAATTCCCACCTCAGTATTAACAGAAATGGAACATATCTCATTACTTACAACAAGCTAGCAGCCTCCTGGAATGCATTAACAGCAGCTGGAATATCCCCCATTACTAGATTTTTCTGCCCCAGTCCAAGTAGCTTCTTTGCTTCTCCATCCACATCCATACTGGAAATCCACATCAGCAATATAAAACACAAAAACAAGCTTGTTAAATAAATTACTATAGCCAATTTGAAGGAAATAACAGTTAAAATACTCATTTTTGTCACTCACCTGACTACCACTATTAAGTACAGTAAAAAAAGCTCAAAATCCATGTATCCTTTTCAAGGAATAGAAAACATGGAACTCCTGACTTTGTTACAAGTCAGTTATACTACCCTATTTCTACCACAGGCATTATTTTTCCAATTTCTACCTTACCTCTCAATTTTGTCAGCAGAAGTGGAAGGTGCAGCAGGTTCTTCTGCCATTCTGAAACTGAAAAATCTGGAGTTAGAAAAGCTCAAAATAGTCTTTCTAGATCTCCACAATATAACCTTTTCAGAATAGTAGCCATATTAGCTTTCAGATATAAGGATCTATTGTTGCCGATGATGTCCAAGAACTACTAGCCAGCTTCCAGACATATCCCATCTCCTTGCCAAATAGACTCATAAATGGACCACATACACCAGGCTTGTGCACTTACATGTAAATATCAAGCCATCAAATCCTTAAAAGAAACCAAGTTTCAGTACTGCTTTAAAGGAACTTAAAGGATCCTAGTCTCTCAGGGCTGTTTTTGAACATACAGTACACTCTCTAGTCTAGCCCATTCATTAAGATGAACACAACTGCAACTTCTCAAATTAGTTGCAGGCCTCCTTCTAACAGCACATTCCCAACACAACACAATTCACAAGACTCCTGAAAAAAGAAAGCCTCTATACGCTAACCAGATCTTCCTGGCAAAACAACAAAGTAAGCATAGTAAATACCAGAAAGAGACTAACAACAACAACCCCTTTAGGCTTGTTATATGTTCTAAGAGTGTTTTGACCATATATTTTTCTGCTTGGAATAGACATCCAGCATTCTGAAAATATTTCTAAACATGGAAATTAAAAGTTTTCATAATGTAGTGAAATTTTAACAGAAGGAAAAGCTGGCCGCGTTTTGAGACGTCTTTTGTGCTAACCATTCCCTACCCACAGCTGACACAATAATAAGCCGCCTAAAGCACTAGTTCTTCCCAAGCACAAAAGCGAGGCAGGAATCTTCCAATGGATAAAGCAGTTGTAAAACCATTTACTTGTGGTAGGAAAAAAAAGCTCCAACAGAAAACTAAGGCTTCGTCATATAGTTGCTCAGGGGGCCCCTAGCAGCCCCGTTAACTATCCAACCAGAGGAAGAAGAACGAGCACTCTCAAGGAAGAAAAAGGTTTACTTCAGCAGACAATAGAGCCCTCTTTCCCCCGCCTCTTCCCTTCCCTCCCAGCGACCTTTTGGCGCCAAATCTCAACGGCCACTTTTGACAGGGCGAGACCGCGTACCACGTGACGAGGGGCTGCCCTCCTTCCCCTCTCTCCCCCCCACCTCCGTCTCTCGGTTTTGCGCGCGCCGAGTCGACGGGTATTAAAAATGGCGGCCTCGATGCCACTTAAGTCACGTGGCGCCTCGGTTTTTAAGCAGACCCGCCTCCTCCTCCCCAACACCGAAAGAAAACGGCACGTACCAAGCCGGGAGCGGCGGCGGCGACGGGGGGAGTGGGAAGAAAGAAAAGAGCCGGGGAGAGAAAGCTGGAAAGGCAAAGAGGTGAAGGAGATTCCTGAGCAGCATGGAACCTCCACAGAGGGCTCACCGAAAGGAGGGAAGAGCGAACTGGTCAAGCCTGCGAAGCGAGACCTCCGCCGCGACCGCCGCCTCCTCTTACACGAACCAGAAACTCAGCATCCCTTCCTTTCTTACCTAGTTCCTGAGGAGACAAAACCTGACTGGAACCGCCTGCAGCGTCGAAGGGGAAGGCTAACCCAGGACCCACCGCTCCAAAACCCTGGGGAAAGACACCACTCGGCAGACAAACGCAGCCCACCGCCCCTCCGAATGGTTATATACCCCCTTGAGGACACGCCCCAGCGGCGCGAGGCACGCTCCGAGAACAAGAAACTACAATCCCCAGCATGCTTTGCGGCCGCCCAACTAGATTCTCGGCGAATCCCAGTGGGTTCCAAAGCCTGAGTGGAATAGTAGTATTCCGGCCAATGCCAGTTTCCAACATTCCACTATCCAGGAGAAAGGGAGTTACCCTACAGGGCGACTAGCATTTCTTAGAAACGTGTATTCCAAGAAGTCGGAGTAAGCCTTGGTTCACTAACAAAGAGCGCCCTAGAAAATGTCGTTTCAGAACCGGAGTGTGCTCGTGAATCGCAAAGCGTAAGGCATACTCTGAAAGGCTTTAAAAGAAATGTCACTTACCCAGAACTCTAGTAACGCTGTGCTAGTTCCATAGGAGACTGAAGAAAATGATCAAAAATAGCTCTGAACGCCAAGGTTCAATGATCTTGCAGCTTCCTTGCGTTTCGCCGCTCTCATCTTCTTAATACTTCGTGCAGAATTATTCACTCTGGCTTACGCGCCCTCCGTCAGGACAACAACTCCCAGGATGCCTGAAAACTGGCCCCGCTGACTGAGGCTTATGGGAATTGAAGGGCAAAACATCTGGCGGACCAAAGATCGGTAGCCACAGTATAAGAGTCCGACAAAACTTTTCGAAAAGGTAGCCCTGTTGTTTCAGCATGTACAACAAAACCGAAAGAAAAGGCACTGTCGCACTTTAAAGATTAAGGGATTTATTTCAGCCTGAGATTTCCTGCATTACAATCCAGTTCCACAGATACTTGCTTTTGTGCCACCCTGGATCTATAACCTACCCAGTGCGGTCTAGGGGACAGTGTGATGGGCTGTAGGATTTAGAAAATCTGGATTTGCAGCTCCCGCTGGTCTCTGGAAATTTTAGTTACTAATAAAACCACTTCTTAAAATATTGTCACAACCTGGAAAGCCTGATGAGGATAATTATAAATCAGTTACAACCTGAGAGCCCCTCATATATACACTGGTAGGGGATGTGGATGCTCCTGCACAGGAATATATAATCACAGAGTTCTAGATGTCACCATTTATGCTCTAGCACAGTGCTTCCCAACCTTGGTTTCCCCAAATGTTCTTGTACTACAATTAACATAAAACCTGGCCAGCACAGCTAGTGGTGAAGGCTTCTAGGAGTTTTAGTCCAAACACACCTGGAGACCCAAGGATTGTGAACGACTGCTGTCAAAGGGTAAAGCATTAGAAGAGAAGTCGAAGAAAATAATCTAAACTAGCTCCCCTCCCTCACCCGCCTATGCTCCAATGGATCTCTTTTCTACAAATTAAAAAAAAACCTCAAAGGAAGAAACGTGAAGGACTGGGAAGGACACAACTACACTAAGAGAACAAGTGCCCTGTTTCCCTGAAAATAAGACCTATCCGCAAAATAAGCCCTAGTTAAGTGAAAGCCTGCCCTCCACCATTGTGCAGCAACCAGGACTAGACGACATGACTGTATTTGAATAAACGTAGATTGTACATGAAAAAATAAAGCATCCCCTGAAAATAAGCCCTAATGCATTTTTGGAGCAAAAATTAATATAAGACCCTGTCTTATTTTCGGGAAAACACGGTATTTTCTTAACACTCCTTCTGTTACTTTAACTGATCTCTTTCTCTAAAGTACAGGTATATAAGAGTTACATCTTTGCAGATTTTTATGCCTCAAGGAGAGTAGGTGATTTACAGGCACTGCCATTCTCACACATACCTGTATTTATCATAATACATATTTGTTACATTTTCTACCCATCTTCCATTATCCATTTTATTTTCACAAAAATCCTGTTACGTAGGTTGAGCTAAGAGGAAGTAACTTGGCTGAAGTCACTCAGTGAACTTCCATGCCTGAGTTCAGAATCAAATTTATTATGTAATTCTACTCTGACATTAAACTACATCATGCTTGCTGTCAATAAGAGAATTGTGGCTAAATGGAGAGTCCTTTCCCCTGGCGCAATCAAATCTTCTTTTAAAAAAAAAGTACCACTGCATTCTCTTCTACATATTTCCAAGATTCAACATGAACCTGTACAGTTTTTCACCATGTGCCGTCAAGTCATATGTGACTTACAGCAATCCTAATAAGGCTTTCAAGGCATGTATATATTTTAAAAGTACTTTTGCTGTTGCCAACGCTTGGCATCCCACGAGTTCCCATGATAAAGCAGGCATTTGAATCCTGACCTTCTGGGTCCTAGTCCGTCATTCTATCCACTATACATGCAGCTCTCCCTACCTGTGTAGTTAGGCATGGCTAAATGTATGTATTAATTGGCCTTAGGTATATTAGATTCCCACGCTGGCCACGTGACAATGGAAACTGTCTTCGGACAAGCGCTGGCTCTACGGCTTGAAAAACGGGATGAGTACTGCCCCCTAAAGTCAGACACGACTGGACTAAAAATGTCAAGGGGAACCTTTACCTTTTACCTATATTAGATTGTTGCACAGAAAACTGTAGCCCTGGGTAAATGCAGACTGACAACACTGTAATGTCCTCTGGTAAGAGGACTTTCTAGCAAATCCTGAAGGTATCTGCTCCTAATTGTAGGCAACTCTAATGGATGGAGTTTTACTCCTTTGAAACACTCACTTTTATCTTAATTCTCAAAAATTGTTATGATTTACAGTATCCCTGAAAAAGCTGAAAGCAATAAATGCACGCCCCTTGCTGTGTCTCGGCAATGTCTATTGGACTGTAGTATCTGCCAAACCAACCAAGTACCAGTATTATTGGTATCAATACAATCTCATTTAATATAACTTGACTACATTTTAGTTTGTAGTTTTTTACAGAAATGTAAAAATAAGTAACCCAATACTTCAAATGTTTGTTTTTTGGATTACCCTTCTTATAACCAATTACCACTAGTTATCTTAGCCCAGAGTTGATGAGAGCTGCAGGTCCAATTTTTTTAGAGCTAGTTACTCATTTTGATTTAGAAAAAAGACTTATAGAGGCTCTGAAGATGGGAATGTTGTGTTTTGGTAAACTAGATTCTACTATTGCCATTTTCATCATATAAGTATATTTCCTAAACATTTAATACAAGCCTCGATTCCTTTAAACTTTAGACTAAAATCCCATACCCACTTAATTTTGGAGTAAGGTCCAATGAACTCAACGTCCAGAATCTTATTGCCACACACTATCATGTAAGGGCAATTGCATACATATCTTACATGTTCCCTGGGCTGCTTGTCATACACTGAGTCCTTTCCCCGATAGCACAATTGGCTGTGCACTTCTCTGTGCATGCATGGTCATGCAACAGGCAGCCTTGGAAATAGAAAATGTTACCCTTGCACGCACAGAAAAACAATAGGATTTTAATCAATATGACTTACCTCTGCAAAATACAGATAGGATTGTATTAAACCACAGTGGAAATCTTGACCTTCAACTCCCAGCATGAATGTGTTCTGTTCTTTTTGTCAAACACTATTTAGTGCTCAGATGGCATTTCATTTGGTTGAATTAATATTGTGATCAGGGAATGGAGAAGATCACCTCGTAGTGGTATTTCCTAAACAGCAACCAACAGGAGAAAGCTAGCTATGGTTGGTGAGATTTGCAATCCAACAACATGCAGGAGGTGATATGTTCTTTTTCCTATCTTAGTATAACCACCCCATTACTTATTTTGTGGATAAAATGGAATAAGCCTGTTCACAAATCCCAATGAACCTTGTCTAGTGTGCGTGAGCAAGAAAGTAGATTCTGGTTTACCAATGATTTACCAGTGGATTGCCAAAGGGTTCTGACTTTCAGTTGTCCAGAATAGCAATTAATAGGCCCCCATCACCAACTCTAAGCTGCTGAAACAAGATGGGACAACCAGCATGAGACTTTCTGTGCACAACATATGCCCCAAAGACCCCTATCCTTAACAGTTTATTCCCCATACTCATGAGCCACTATTTAGCACCGGCTTCTTAGTGGCCTTCACTGTGCTAGTGAAAAGTAAGGCAGAATCTGCAAGTGTAAAACCTCCCTATATGTGATCTGGTCTTGCTTCTAGTGACTCAATACACATATCCTCTATCAAAAGTTCTTATGCTGTACCCCATGACAACATCTAGCCATCATCGTCATTTAGTCGTGTCCGACTCTTCGTGACCCCATGGACCAGAGCACGCCAGGCCCTCCTATCGTCCACTGCCTCCCGGAGTTCTGTCAATTTCATGTTGGTTGCTTCAAAGACACTGTCCAGCCATCTCGTCCGAGCCATACCAGTTCCAATAGAAATGTATGCATAACATATTTTAAAAGATAAAACATCACCTCCACTAGTAATTATTGGAATTAACAAATTTATTTATCCAGACTGGAATTTGTGGTTAAGCAACAGGCAGCTTGATGCTATTTTATACTGCTTGTATATGCATACAAGATTTCAGGAGATGTGAGTATTTGCAGAAGAAACTACAGAATAAGAAGATTCTGTGGATCAGGCTGTAGTGTCACTTGACTACACAATGCCATCCTCAAAAAAGAATATACTCTTTCTGCTGAACTAAAGCAGGTTGAGGTTCTTGCTTAATCAATAAGGCCAAAGACACAGAGTGTACCAGACTATACATGTTGTAAAACAGACAACAGTCCCTTGAAAAACTGCATCAGGTGTATGTGTTTGCCATTACAAACAAAACTGTACTGTACTTAGTGGCCAAAAAATAATACATAAGCTTTTCAATACTGTAGTCTGCTGAAAATTTTGAGAAAGAATGCTAAAAATAGAACTATAGTTCATAATTTTTAATTGATTTCAAAAGATACTGGATGTGCTTGCATTTAATTTAAAATGCTTCAGATCAATTAGGTTTTTCCTGCAGCTATTAGAAAAGGGAGTAGCTTACAAATACTGCTACCCAACTCTAGAGCACCTAGATACATAGAAGGCTATACAGTATTGGAAAACATTGTGACAAGGAACAGTGAACAGGCACTTTAGCAGATTATCTTATTGAGGGTTCTAGCACTGTCCTAAAACAGATTCAGAATATAGAACTAGTGAGTAAACAATTTTGATCTAACACTAAAGGCAGCAAGATCAAGTGCAATTTTCTACATCAGATGGTAGTCACTGCAAACAGTCCTGTACTGCTGAACACATTCAGAGCTGAAATAACTAACACTGCTAGGCATAACTCCATTAATTGTGGGTCAGTACAGGAAGTGCACATTTGTAGTGCTTTTTCATTTTTTAGCATCCAACTTATTTCTTTTCCCTGCATGGGCATTACATTTTCAGCGAGGACCTTGGCCCACATTTGTAGAGAAAGATGAAGACATATGTTTACTTATAAAAGTCCTCCAAAAATGTAAAGTTATGTAATATAAAAAAAGTACTGTATTGTATGTGGTTTCTCTCATTTCTTTAAAGATGTGCTAATTAATAAAGATTTTTAAAATTCAAACAAAAATAAAACATTTTATTTTGGATTCTTTTAAACTAATAAGTGATGGCAATCATTATCTTGAATGAAATCTTCTGTTTTATAAACTTCCAGAATTAGTACGGTTCATTGAAGGGATAGAGAGGATGTCCAGCATCTCGTGGTACCATTTTGCCCTCCACCTATGAAAGATAAGGAGCATGTTAGTTAAAAGGAAGTACTGTTGTAATGTTTATGCTTGTTAGGAAGTGGAATTTCACAATGGTAAGGAGAGATCTATTAGCACAACTATCACCCCTATTCCTCTGGTAATTTCTAAAAGCAACAGTTAAATGTACAGTGTGCTAGTTAAATCAGCAGGGTAAAAGGAAGAATTTTTCAGAGTCCGGTTTAAGTAAGAACTTATCAGTGCTGATAGTAAGACCTTTTAAGAGGCTATTAATTCATGAAATTGCCATAATTCAGAAATGGCTTGACAGTACATAACAGATGGTTAATATCTCTTATGAGATAAAATTGCTCCCAGCTGGAGTTAAAACAACAACAATAACAAACATGACATTTCAAAATTAGAAGCAAGCAAGAGCCCCATTCAAACTGCAAAGGTTCTGACATGAATGTACATTTGGCAACATGAGTAAAATGTTTATTTTAAAAATCTTTTGATGGAGACAAATAAAAAACATACTGAAAGTGGTAAAACCTTTAGTGTTGTGTGATAACATCTTAAAAGAATGGAAAAGCAGCATATTGCTTTCATGGAAAGCTTGACCAATGCCTTTTTTAAAATGTGCGATCAAGTCAGTGCCAACCTACAGAAAACCTTTTTAGTTTTCTAGCTATACATTACAGGCTAAAATATTGATACTATAATGAAAGTATATTGCTTCTATATTGTTTTTCTCAGGAGGCTGGGGTGTGGGGAGGATTGCCTGGCCGTTTCCTGATTTTTATAATTTCCCTCTGCATCCCAGGCACCACTAGGGGGCATACAGCACCAATAGCATAGCTGATATAATCATAAAAACAAATCAATCTAAAATATGAACAAATCTGAAGTTTTCAAAGGTTGCATTGCAGAACTGGGTGAAAAAAGCACAAAAGGTCAAGAACAAAAGCTCAGAAGTTATCCTCAGTAGAAATCTTAACACTCTGCCATATATTCTTATCCTGAAAAACTCATACTTCCATCCATCTTAACTCCTTTGTACACCCCAGTATGGAAATTTTGAAAAGAGAATGGGGTGCTTATGTTTTGCTATATGAAAAAGCACAGCTTAAGAAATACTGGTCAAGAAATACATTTCTCAGCATCACTTAAGATCATGTAATCGAAAATGTCCAAAAATAATTTCTAGGGCTCAATGCAAGGGCCCCATCAATTTAATGTCATCACTTATATCAACCTGGTTGCATGGAAAATTAAATCATTCCTATCTACATGGCAAGTGACTTACAAATGTTGTGACCTGCCTCTTATCGTGAAGAAGTGCATTTATGGTGGGAACCATACAACCCACAATTACATCTGATGGGTTAGGGATAGATTTCAACCAGTTTTGTAAGTTTACAGTGGTGCCTCGCATTACGACGTTAATTCGTTCCAGCGAAATCGCTGTAGAACGAAAACGTTGTAAAGCGATTTTAAAAAGCCCATAGAAATGCATTAAAACCCGGTTAATGCGTTCCTATGGGTTGTAAACTCAACGTCCAGAAAAGATCTTCCATAGCGCGGCCATTTTCGCTGCCTGTGCAGCGAGAAATCCGTCCCAGAAAACAGTGGGCGGCAATTTTGTTTACCCGGCGGCCATTTTGAAACCACCGATCAGCTGTTAAAAAATCATCGCTTTGCGAGAATCGGTTCCTGAAGCAGGGAACCGATCATCGCAAAGCGAAATTCCCCCATAGGGAACGTCATTTTGCGATCAACGTCAAGCGGTTTCGTCGTTAAACAGCGCGCCCGTCTTGCGGGGTACCACTGTACTTGCATACAACATCCATGTAGAACATTAAATCAAATGCTGCATTGCTACTAGTCAACAGCACTCACAATAGCTAATCATGCTACTTAATTAACTTATAAACTATACCGCAGGACAGCTTGTGTTCTGCTGTAACTATTGTTGCTTAAATATCTGAATATAAGGGAATAATAGAGGAACTCAACGAACGTATGGATCTGGCTGAAAGGGTAAAAGGCTGAACATACTCATAGAAGGCTTATGATATATAGTTTCAATTATGGTGAACATGCCTTACACACAAAATACTGTAAAAGCAATAGTACTTACTGTAACCATTGGCACAATGTATCGCCAGTTCTTATTCAGGCTCCCAATAAAGTTAATTTCTTCAGGTGTCAGACTGAAGTCAAACAACTAAAACCAGAAGCAGATACTTTACTACGTATTCAGGACAAGGCTTTTCACCTATGAGCCCCTGTTTCTCTGCTAAAATAAATTCCATTTATACTGTGCATGTTAATACAAATCTACTAAGGAACATGAGCTAGACAATATAAATGTTTATTTTACTTATATATATCTATATATAGATATAGATATATAAAATCTAAGCAGTTATAAGCCAAGTACAAAGCATGTGTTCTTCCTTTTCTGGTCTCCACTTTAAATTATAGATAAGGCTAAATGTAAAGAAGCAGAACTTGTTCCTTGTTTGTTCTCTGTAAATCTTATTCCGTCTGGAGAAGGACAACAGCTGCAGAGGTGTGTAATTGTGACCCAGCCTACAACTCCGTAGCCAGCATAGGATTTGTTACATGCAAAGCACACTATATATTCTATTACCGAGTATCATTCTTTACCACATAAAAATGCCCAGCTTCCCGGAAGGGTCCATATTGTTAGCACTGTAGTTTGAATATTCCTGGAAACCGCTCGTCCCAAACACTAACTTCAGATGTTTAAACTGTCTTCACAGAATCTGGTCAAGGACAGACCATCCAATGGTGCAGCGATCACCCTGCTTTGGCTCAGTTAGAAGATTATTGGCATGTACCAATGAGAGCTGTTGGGAGGCAGAGCCAGAGAAACCAGAAGGGAGGAGTGAGTCAGAGTCTAGTCAGTGGAGTTCAGTGAGAGAACAGAGAAAGAGAGTTTGGAGTTTGAGGCAGAGAGAGTGTTTAAGGAGTGATTAGTCAGAGTGTGACCTGCTTTAATTAAGATAGAAGAGGTTAAAGTAAAATACAGAAGCTATGTGTAACTTTAAGAATGTGCTTAAGAAGTATTCCTGAAACAACTTGTAATCAATAAAACTGTTTCTGTTTAAAAGTTCAGTACTGAATGGACCTCAGTCTTTCATAGGAAATATAAGTTGATAAAGAGATCAACTGGTGGCAGCGTGTTAAAGGGCGGGTTGAGATAGCTTCGTGAGCTCTGTGTTTGGTGAAACAAGCACGGGCCATGGGGTAAACGCCACAAATAGTTCTACGTAAGTCTTTCCATGGCATATGTAACCCCTGAGTGGTCATTTTTTTAGAACCAAAATGGGCGTACCAAAGCAGAAGTTCTTGTAAAGGTAAAGGTAAAGGTTCCCCTTGACAATTTTTGTCCAGTCGTGTTCGACTCTAGGGGGCGGTGCTCATCCCCGTTTCCAAGCCATAGAACCAGCGTTTTGTCCGCAGACAATCTTCCGTGGTCACATGGCCAGTGCGACTTAGACACGGAACGCTGTTACCTTCCCACCGAGGTGGTCCCTATTAATCTACTCACATTTGTATGCTTTCGAACCGCTAGGTTGGCAGGAGCTGGGACAAGCGACGGGCGCTCACTCCATCGCGTGGATTCGATCTTACGACTGCTTGGTCTTCTGACCCTGCAGCACAGGCTTCTGCGGTATAGCCCGCAGCGCCACCACGTCCCTTCAATTCTTGTAAGCAGTGGACCAAGTTGACATCTCCCTGCTGTTAAATCTAAATCAAGAGGACGTCCCTCTGCGGGTCTTTGTTGTTTCTTTAAACCCTCTTCCTTATTTACCCTCATCTCTATCCCTTCCCCCTCATCCTATATTCAAATTTTCCTCCTCCAGTACGGCGAATTAAAAATTCTACTTCTTAACCTTTATTTCCCGCCTCCATCCTC